CATTAACGCATCCAGATGCCTGCGACATGGCACTGTCTTGGGCCCCGACAGCCCATTGACACGCGGCGCCTGCCAGACTTATATCACTCCCCGGTGACCCCTTCTCGTCCTCTTCAGTTCGTCCTTGGTTATGCCCCTCGTGGCTGTTCCTGGGCGCCGTCACGAGCCGCGAGCAGCTGTAGTGCCCGAGACGCCGCTATAAAAGATGTAAGTCCGATCTCGAGGATGGAGCCACGCCCTTCTTCGCCGTCAGGTAAGTCCTCTCGCTCTGCTCCGCGCGGTTCTTTGGTGGTGACTTGACTTGGTGAAATTCTTCTATTGGTCTTTGAATTGTGGACTCCTTTTGGTGTACACAGTGAATAGTCTTATGTAAAATGGTGACACTAGAGTAGTGTAAGCAGCAGCAAAAACTCTGTGGATGGAAAAGAAAAGTAAACAAGAAAATATTAATCATAACGTGCATTGCATCTTACGATATATCGCTTAATAATCAAATGCCGCGATTTACATTTAATATACACAATGCTACTTCTCGTTTGATTTACTCCTATTGTACAAAGTGTAAGTTCTAAATAACTTTAGTTTTTGAGTGAGATCTCGTGCAAGAATTTGTACCGCTCAGACTTGGAATGTCAAATCCAACAAATTCTAACTTGTTGATTATTCGTTGCGACTTTAGCCATGTCTACTTAACGTTCTCGCGTTCATTTTTTTTTTTCTTGTACACACCCTCGCTTGCTGTCATGCGCACGACTTTATTTCGGAATGACATGTGCATCATGCGGGCCTTATGAGGAAGTGCAAGCTGGTAATTCTACACTGAACTCTGTTTTGCCACAACAGTTATCGAGTTGGTCCTCGATGTGAAGCTCGAGTACGAGGTAACATTTGCTACCCGACGCCTGACGCCTCACCGCCCGATAGCCCCTTCGCTGCCCAGCCAGGTGCCACAACTCCAGGTACTTCAGTTCCTCTTCTTCCTCCCCTTCCGAATAGAGACTGATAGATTGACAGTAAGCTTCAAGTGTGACTATATTTATATATATATGTGTGTGTGTGTGTGTGTGTGTGTGTGTGTGTGTGTGTGTGTGTGTGTGTGTGTGTGTGTGTGCGTGTGAGCTAGGCTCAGATGGTCCCGTCTGCTATATTTAAATTATCATATTACTTTTTAAATCGATGCGCATTTTGGCACACAAAACGTTATTGGAAAAGATGCTCCGTGTTTCAATAATTATGTTTGGGAAACTGAACTTCGAGACATCTTTCTCTCTTCTTTTTACTTTCAACTTTTTGCTGTGTTTTCTCGTCCTTCTTGTGTTCAAAATTATATAGACATCTTTGTCTAACTTCATTCTTCCTGAATATAGTTGAACAGCATTATCATGTTACCTCTTCTTCTTCTTTCGTCCAAAGTAGTGAGACCTATTTTCTTTCTTTGTAGCTCACATCTCTTAGAGTAGGTGCCCAGTTTGTGGCTGCTCTTTGAGCTCTTTCTAGTTTATCTATATCCTTCTTTAAGTGTGGACTCCATACCACTGCACCATACTCAAGACTAGGTCTTATGATGGCTGAAATGACCTTCTTTACCATGTATTCGTCCACATACACGGATGCCCTCTTCATGTTGGCAATCAGCCCTGGTATATTATGAGCATTGTCATTTATATGATCATTTGGGCTTAGGTTCCTGTTTATGATTATTCCTTTGTTCTTTACCTGCTTGGTTCAATATTACGTCTCCTAACTTTTATTGGTTTAGTAGACGATTTTTCCTTCTCCGAACCTGACTACATGGCATTTATTGGTGTTAAATTCAATTTTCCATGTACAACTCCGAATGAATAGGTTCTCGATGTCAATTTGTAGGCATAGACATGCGACACCGTCTATTATCCTAACTTAGTAATTTTGCATTCCACGAACCTGGTTGAGCTCTGGAATCGATACTTCCCTAGTCAATTTTGCTAATAAAATCCCCTAATGCATCAGTGTCCGAAAGTTGTGGCAATTTTCTTGTGACTACACTGATGTAGGGGGTGGTGTGTACACTGTGGTTATTATTATATTTACTCCGTTTCTACCTCAATTGCCTTTAGTTCTACAATGGGATTTTGCCGAATCTCCATTCTCTATAATAATTCCTTTTATTGTTAATATTGCCACTCCCTTCATTTCCATTTGCCCTATCTTTTCTCCAAATATTGTATTCTTTAATGTTACATCGTCTACAGAGGGACCTAGTTTGGATTCAGTGATGGATATTACATCTGGTTTAGTACTTTCAATAATTGCATCTAGTTCTAGTAACTTCGAATATAAACCATCAATATTCGTATAAACTATTTTTAAATAATCTTTAGGCATTCCTTTTGGCTGCAAAGGTATTGATTGTCTGTCTCCACATTTTGGTTCCGATAGTAAACTTGTTTTGCTTGGAGGCCTCTCACCCTCTAAATGAACAAATTGTTTCTTCTTTGTTCGTTTTTGTTTTTTACTTCTTCCAGTTTTTTTCCCCGCAGCATTTCTCTGTCATCATTGGTCATATTTTCTCTTATCCAGATTTTCTTTTTATTCTTCGTGTGTGGCCGGGACTTTAGCTTTCTTTATTACAATAGTTCCATTTGCTTCTTTATGAATGTCACCTTTAAAAGGCGTTTCTTTCCCTTTTCCGAATAATCTCAACCTCCTATGGGCTATGATATTTTGCTCCGAGAATTCGGGATTTATGAACTTGAAAATACTGGCAATCAGTTATTATCTTCGTTGTATAGCTTGATCCCATCTTCTACAACCTTTTCTGCATGTCCCGATATGAATATGTCCTTGTATACATTAGGCACATTTGCAATATTCTTTGCGTGTTGCCCAAAGTGTGACAAATTCAGAGAGAGAGAGAAAGAGAGTAAAAGAAAGAAAGAAAGAAAGAAAGAGCGAGCGAGAGAGAGAGAGAGAGAGAGAGAGAGAGAGAGAGAGAGAGAGAGAGAGAGAGAGAGAGAAGAGAGAGAGAGAGAGAGAGAGAGAGAGAGAGAGAGAGAGAGAGAGGGAGAGAGAGAGAGAGAGAGAGAGAGAGAGAGAGAGAGAGAGAGAGAGAGAGAGAGAGAGAGAGAGAGAGAGAGAGAGAGAGAGAGAGAAAGAAAGAGCGCACACGCACACACACACACGCACACACACAAACACACACACACACATGCACGCGCGAGCATATATATATATATATATATATATATATATATATATATATATATATATATATATAGAGAGAGAGAGAGAGAGAGAGAGAGAGAGAGAGAGAGAGAGAGAGAGAGAGAGGGAGAGAGAGAGAGAGAGAGGGAGAGAGAGAGAGAGAGAGAGAGAGGGAAAGAGAGAGAGAGAGAGAGAGAGAGAGAGATAGCGAGAGAGAGAGAGAGAGAGAGAGAGAGAGAGAGAGAGAGAGAGAGAGAGAGAGAGAGAGAGAGAGAGAGAGAGAGAGAGAGAAAGAGCGAGACAGACAGAGAGAGAGAGAGAGAGAGAGAGAGAGAGAGAGAGAGAGAGAGAGAGAGAGAGAGAGAGAGAGAGAGAGAGAGAGAGAGAGAGAGAGAGAGAGAGAGAGAGAGAGAGAGAGAGAGAGAGAGAGAGAGAGAGAGAGAGAGAGAGAGAGAGAGAGAGAGAGAGAGAGAGAGAGAGAGAGAAGAGAGAGAGAGAGAGATTGAGAGAGAGAGAGAGAGAGAGAGAGAGAGAGAGAGAGAGAGAGAGAGAGAGAGAGAGAGAGAGAGAGAGAGAGAGAGAGAGAGAGAGAGAGAGAGAGAGAGAGAGAGAGTGAAAGAGAGAAAGAAAGAAAGAGCGAGAGTGTGTGTGTGTGAGAGAGAGAGAAAGAGAGAGAGAGAGAGAGAGGAGAGAGAGAGAGAGAGAGAGAGAGAGAGAGAGAGAGAGAGAGAGAGAGAGAGAGAGAGAGAGAGAGAGAGAGAGAGAGAGAGAGAGAGAGAGAGAGAGAGAGAGAGAGACAGACAGAGAGTGAAAGAAAGAAAGAAAGATAGAGCGAGAGTGTGTGTGTGTGTGTGAGAGAGAGAGAGAGAGAGAGAGAGAGAGAGAGAAGAGAGAGAGAGAGAGAGAGAGAGAGAGAGAGAGAGAGAGAGAGAGAGAGAGAGAGAGAGAGAGAGAGAGAGAGAGAGAGAGAGAGAGAGAGTGAAAGAAAGAGAGAGAGAGAGAGAGACAGAATTGTTTCAATGCCAAATCAATCTTATTTGTTCACAACAGGAACCGAAGATACGTCCAGTTGCTACAGTCCATCCTGCAATATTTAACAGAAAACGTGACTCGTCCGAAGAAAACGAACCTCGAAAGGGGGACTTCGAAATTCCCGAGAAAGATACTCCTCCCGAGCAAGAATTAGAGTCAGACGATTTTCCTTCCAAAGAGGGGAACCCAACCGACCCACAGGTCGTCCAGGAAAAGACCTTTAATAACCATTCTACCGTATCTTCAGCTGATACTCGTGACAAAGAAGAAAATAAGCCACAGTCAGAGTGCCCTAACGAGCCATTCGATCGCTCCTGCTTTTTCTCAACCCGATACAGGAGTTACAGACTCAGACGCCAGGAAGCCCCTGATCCTTGCAAGAAACATCGAGACATCGTTTTGAACGCCGCATACCGTCTTCGAAAAGCACTCAAGATGGAATGCCAAGATGGACACGGATGCGCCTCAGAGGGCCAGCAGATCGAAGAGAAGCGTGAGGAAATCCAGCGAGAGGGAGAGAGAGACATCACCATTACTGAGTGTCTCGAAGGTTCGGTTCGGTTCGGTTCTTGATTTGATTTTAGCGTGTTAAATTCCAGTTTTTCTTCGGTTTGATATTGTTATTCTTAGTATTAATGCCGTCATCATCATTATTCATAGTGATGATGGTGGCGGTGTTGATAATGTTAATGATGATGATGATGGTAAGGAGGAAGAGAAGTATGGGGATGACGATGGGGATCATTATCATCATCGTCATCATCATCATCATCATCTTCCTCTTCATCATCATCATTTTCAATATCATCAATATCATCATCACTATAACACTACCAACGCACGGCATTCCTAACACGACCACGACGATCCCTCCAGAGTTCCTTGCCGAGCTTCACCTAAGCCACCTGGCCGACTACCTGCGAGTGCTGGGCTGCACCTGCGTGAGAGACCTGCGCCTCCTAGAGACCTCCGAGCTCGAAGCCATCCAGCTGGTGTCCCGTCGACGCCTCCTTCAGCAGCTCGATTCCCTGAAGCTCCACCACGAAGGTACTTATCTTCATTTCTCTCTGATTTTGTGAATGCCATACATGAAATGTTTGTGCTAGTGATAAGTCCTACCCTAAATTGTGTATAAATGTGTCTACAGAATCATACATGTGTATGTGTATATGTGTGTGTGTATATATATACACGCATACACACACACATATATATATATGTGTGTGTGTGTGTGTGTGTGTGTGTGTGTGTATGTGTGTGTGTGTGTGTGTGTGTGTGTGTGTGTGTGTGTGTGTGTGTGTGTGTGTGTGTGTGTGTGTGTATGTATATATATATATATATATATATATATATATATATATATATATATATATATGTATGTATATATATATAAAGCGAGAGAGAGAGAGAGAGAGAGAGAGAGAGAGAGAGAGAGAGAGAGAGAGAGAGAGAGAGAGAGAGAGAGAGAGAGAGAGAGAGAGAGAGGAAGAGAGAGAATAAAGCTGGAAAAAATATGTGTGCATGCATGTATTTATGTGGTCATGTATACTAATATATATATTTATCAAATTACCATCACAAAATGTACATTACACATATATTTGAATACAGACTTTATTTTCTAGCCGTGAGAGTTCCTTGTCACCTGCACGGAGGTGAAAAAAATCGAAAAAAAATCCCACCGATGCAAATGATTATAAACTGATGTAGGATTTTTTGCAACTGGTCTGAACTTTTTTTCATCAAAATACGAAGCAAAACCACAGCAACATCTTGCTTTTTCATGGCATTGTGTTTCATCCTTGAGCCCCATTAATACTATGTTCCCTGATGAAGACCGATATTTTCTGATATAATTATTTTTTTGCAAAAGTTTTTTTTTAACTGCTAACTTGCAAGTATAAATAAGTAATTTTCCCGTTTCCTATCATCTCCTGGTCCTCCTCGTGTCCTCTCGTTCTTTCTCTTTCTTCTAGACAATTCCTTTTGTGATTCGTGTCTCCCTGCATCCGTGATTTCTCAGGCCTTCTCTTATTCCTCCTTTCCTCCGCTTTCTTCCTCTAATCTCACTCCCCCTCCGTCTCCGCCTCCGTCAGCGCCTCCCGAGGACTGCTCTCTGGAAGGGTGGCTGACGTGGTACGGCCTCACACACATCTCGGGTTTCCTGAAGGCCATCGGGGTGCATACTGTGGGTGACCTGGCCTACGTGAGGGAGGAGGACCTGGTTCTCCTGAAGCCCGTGACTCGCAGAAGGATCCTCGCCTGTAACAAAAGGTCAGTCAGGTGTTTAAAGTCACGTGGTTGTGTTGTTGGACTGCGGGGGATTTATGTGTGTTGATGGCCGAGTTGGTGACTGTATGATACGGTCGGTAAAAACTGAAGATACAATGATCTGGCTGATAATTAATTTTCATTTGGAAATAGAGAGATTAATGTTCGGTATTAATTATTACGATGATGATTTTGTAGTATCTTTTCTTCCTTTCTGTGCAAGTTAACACTTTGTTGTGTTGGTGATTAAAACTTGATAAATTTAATCATTTCGAAGTGACTGGCTTTATTCATTGCGAAAAATCACAATAGTGTCTTTACACAATTACAGTTACTAATATAACATTCCTATAATGACACATATGATAGAAATCAAGCGACATTTTCCATTAACCTATTACCCATTGCATATGACCTAAGTCTCCTTAAAATTGCACCGATGTTGTGCATGATATTGGTTGATATAAGATACTCATGCTAACCGTCTTATGTAAAAAGAAAGTGAACGATCGGATGAGTATCTTGACTTGGTGCATTTTCTCCTTTCGTCATTAAACCCAAAATCATTCCAATAGGAAATTGCCTATGTCATTATTATACCCACGGGATGAGGGTTTTTTTATGCAATCGGATATGTGCACCTGTCTGTTTACCAATTCGATTTTCTGCTCCTCAGGTGGAACAGGAAGTCCACGTCATACTGCATTGGTATCACACACAATGATTATCTAATGTAAAGGTAAAGCTATGTTGCTGAAAAAGTTCACTTTCTTCATAAAAAATACAGGACACCCTTCTTCAGATACTAGCAAGCACTGTATTTTACAATGTACCTTACTCCAGCCAAGTCGTGATGAAACCACAGACTTTGGATGGCATTGGTTAGCGCGCCCTCGCGCGCGCACACACACACACACACACACACACACACACACACACACACACACACACACACACACACACACACATACACACACATACACACACACGCACGCACGCACGCACGCACGCACG